CAGTGCCTCTTTTGTGTGGGGGGTAGCTGAAGTCAGTGTATAATTATTTCTTGCAGGGAGATTAATGGCTCTGGCCTTTTTTAATTCTCTCCAGTCCTCGTTTCTGTGTCACCTGCCTATCAGCAGTCAGATCCCTAATAGGTGCTATTAGACTAATAGCTAAAGGTGTACTGAAAAGAAGTATCATTAAAGATAAAGGACATGAACTATTGGAAAACTTCAGAGCCTTCCATCTTTAAGTTCTCTGTAAATCTCTTTTCAGGTTTTTGTTTTGTTTTGTTGTTATTTATTTCTTCATTCAGCTGAGCTCTAGTTGCTCATGGTGGCACTTCTTGGCATTTCAGAGTGAGAATTGGTTCAGCTTTTATTGTTATTATAGTTACTAAGGTATTTAATGATCCTAACTTTTTATATTCCTTATTTTCCCTACTGATACCAGTCTTCTGACAATCCCTGCTCTTGTTGGGAAGGTTGGCAGAATGAATCCTTTTCTGATTTTTAGCCTCTTTTGGAGAGTGATAAATGAAGCTCTGTTTGTTCAATTGAGCAGTAAAATATGAAATCCCATAAAAGCCACCTAGGTTATTAGATGAATATCACTGAGCTGCTTACTATGCACTATGGCTTAACATAGATTATAGATGTGACCAAATGGTGATTAGCAGAGCTGGATCTGTAATTAAACATTAGTGTGCTGTTCTGTGATTTCTACTTAAATTTCTGTTGCAATGTAGAAGGAACTAAATAGTTCCAAACTGATAGGTCATCTCTTCTTCCCACCTCTCCAAGTCTCTTTTAATTATTTAAAAAATAAAGTCATCCTTATACTAACATAGATCATGAACTCTTATTTAGTGACTTTGACCAGTAAGGGTGGTTAGGTACATATGTTAAACAGCTCCTCATTTGTCAGTTCTGTTATTCTAGTGTTCAGTTCAGCTAATTGTGTTTCTTCTCTTCCTTTCAGTTTTATAGCAAGGATTAATTTGGCAAACTGCCTGAAATGCAGCAGTGGTGTTTCCAGCCTATATCTTAGATGTTTTCTGGACCCATCAGTACAGAATTGGGGGCATAGCCAGCAGCACTGAATAACCTAACAAGAAATGAAACAACTTCCAGAAAAGAGCTGTCCTTGGTGGGAAGGAAAAAGAAAGAAGGGGACTGGGAGGGAAGGGGGGGAGAGAGAGAGAGAGAGTGAGCAACCATGTGGATAGTGGAACAGGTTGCCAACAGGACATGTTCAAGCAAGGTAATCAGAAAGTACACAGGACTGGTCTAGAAGATTTTAAAGCAATCTTTCTCTAACAAAGAGGGCTTTGCAGGAATTTCTCTTCCTAATAGAAGTATAGAAAAGGAGTATACATCTAGCTATGAAATAGCTTCTGTCTCTATTCTTTCCTAAGAGAAAGAACAGAGAAACAGAGGTAAGATAGAGTAAAGATCGATGATCCATATACTTCTGTCTCTAATTTTCCCTTTCTAGTAACTATCAAGGGTAAAATCTCCAGGAATCTTTCTTTCCAAAGAGTTATGAGCCAGTTTCTTAGAGCATTCCTGAAAGGGTTTAGTGATGACAGCCAAATTTCAACCGCTACATGGTAGTAGCCATCGTTGTAGTCATAGTAGTAGAAGTAGAGAGTACACTTTTTCCTGTACTGTTTTTAATTTCAAGTCTTTGCATAGAAATTTTACAGGATCTTGCAAGGATCTTCTGTATTCCAAGAAGGTTTCTAGATTAAATTGTAAATGCTTGATTGTCAAACATTCAAAGAGAGTAAAAAATATCCTGATAGAGTTCCATATACAGTGTTCCTCTTTGATTAAATTTTATGAAAAAGGTGGCATTAGGAAGTATAGGGAGAGTGTGTGTGTGTGTGTGTGTAAGATAAGGATAATGTTTTGGCAGCTCTTGAATTAATCTGAAGCAGTGTCTTAACATTCTTTGAACTCTTGACAGTGATGATGTGCAAATAGCAGTGACTTTCTAAACCAAGTACTGTAGAGAATGGAAGCAATACCCAGATCTCAACTTTAGAGTAGTAGTCAAAGCTCAGAAGGTGTGTGTGTGCGCGTGCGCATACATGTTTCAGGGAAGAAGTAGGTGGATTATAGGTGGAGTGGTGGTCTTGCTGTAACTATTCCAGAACCAGAATTATATTGCAGAGCTGTCCAGCAGCTTGGATTATGGCTACATGTGTGGGTTCTATTGATTTTATTTCTGTTGAAGGAGTACATTCAACCTGGACTAAAAATTCTTTCCCAAGGGGAAGAAGGTCCCAATCAGTGACTCCTTTTTCTAGGTTTTCTGGTTGGTATCATACTTAATCTTCAGGGCAGATCAGTCAGTGTATTGACCACATATATACAAGGCTATGTTTAATTAGAATCTGGGACTGTAGACCCACAGAGTTGGTACTTTGTCAACCTGATGTTAAAATTTAGAGAGTTAAAGGATGATATTTTTACCACTTTACTACCACTTCTAATTCTAGTTGCATTCTTGGCATCTAAGGTAGTTGCATTCCAGTGAGAGGTCCTAGTTTTGGAGGTAGACTGCTGGTGCTGGTATCCAACTATTTCTGTCTATGTATGTATTATAACTGTATGTGCAGTCTGCTATGGATTGGCTTCTGATTAGTAATAGCATATATTTTTTTTAGCAAGTCTTCTTTGTCATTCTTTTTAATTTTATATATATTTTTACATCATTTTTCATTTTTGCACAATGTATGCATTTTCATCTTGGTTATACACCCCATAGAATTCCCACCCCACCCCTTATTATGACCCTAAATCCTTCTCTCTTCCCCTCCCCCATAGTATGTCTCTGGTTTATAGTTGCTTGTTGATTTTGATTTTTACTTCATTATAATTAGTCTTTTTCCTGGTCCCTTATTAAGGTTTTCTAAATTCCTGCTATGAGTGAGACCATCTGGTATTTTTTTCTTTCTTTCTGGCTTATTTCGTTGAGCATGATCCCTTCCAGCTCCATCCATGTTGCTGCAAATTGCATGAGTTTATCTTTTTTGATTGCTCAGTAATATTCCTTTGTGTATATGTACCACATCTTCTTGATCCAGTCATCAATTTTTGGGCATTTGGGTTGTTTCCATAGCTTAGCTATTGTAAATAGTACTGCTATAAACATAGGGGTGGAGTGCAAGTGCCCTTTTGAATTAATGATTCTGTGTCCTCTGGGTAAATACCTAGGAGTGGAATTGCTGGATCATATGGAACCTCCATCTTTAGTAGGTTGAGGAATCTCCACACAGCTTTCCAGATTGGTTGGATCAGTTTGCACTCCCACCAGCAGTGCAGGAGAGTTCCTTTTTCTCCACATCCTCGCCAGCATTTGTTGTTGCTAGTTTTTAAAATGTGCCATTCTCACTGGTGTGAGATGGTATCTCATTGTAGTTTTGATTTGCATTTCCCTGATTACAAGTGATGCTGAACATTTTTTCATATGCCTGTTGGCCATTTGCATTTCCTCTTTGGAGAAGTTCCTTTTTAGCTCTTCTGCCCATTTTTTGACTGGATTATTTTCTTTGTTGTTGTTGAGTCTCATCAGCTCTTTGTAGATTTTTGTGAGCAGCCCTTTATCATTAGTGCTGTGTGCAAAAATTTTCTCCCAGGGCCTCCTCTGGTGGCACAGGCAGTTGAGCGCCTCGCTGTGAAGCTGTCTGCAGCCTCCGCAGTGACGGTTCATTCCCAGCCAGCGAGGGTCCCACATGGCACGGCAGATCTCTCCTGTCTCGCCCACTGCTCCCCTCAGCAGTGTATTTCATCATTCTTCCTGTTCTGTTCCCCACTCTGTCTCTGGTGAATTTTCTCACCCTCCCGTGCATCTGGCCTGTACCCCAGTTCTTGTATAAATAAATAAATAAATCTTTTAAAAATTTTTTTTTCTCCCAGTTGGTGGGGTGTCTCTTTGTTTGGGTTACTGTCTCTTTTGCTGTACAGAAGCTCTTTAATTTGATGTAGTCCCAGCTGTTCATCTTTGCCTTCGCTATCACTGTTTTGGATGATGAGTCCTTAAAGATGTAATAGCACATATTTCTTACAGATACATTTGATATAAGATTCACACTCCAAAATGTCATTCTCATTAACCAATCATTGTTATAATCTCTGAGGATTAGATACCCCCATCACTTTGCTCCCAAGCCCTTTTCATGACCTTTAAGTAGATTTCCTTGTAGCTAAAGATAAATTAAAGTTCTGATTTTCTTGAAGTAGCATTCCTAGCAACTGGGAATTTCTTTTTTTTTTTTTAAGATTTATTTATACAAATAAGAACTGGGGTACAGGCCAGAGGTACGGAAGAGTGAGAGGATTCACTAGAGACAGTGGGAAACAGAACAGACTGATTGACTGAAATACACTGCTGAGGGACAGTAGGTGAGACAGGAGAGGTCATGTGGTTTAACTCCCTGACTGGGGATTGAACTCCTGCTGCAGTGGCTGCAGATTGCTTCAAAGTGCTGAGACTTAACTCCTTGTGCCACCAGAGAGGCCACAACTGGGTATTTCTTTCCCCCTTTATTCCCACCTGTATTCTTGAATTTTATACTCGATGTGTAATATATTACTTGTTGAGTGATAGATTGGTGGGAAACCTAGTGGTGACAGAACATGATCAGAGTTTGGCCATTTCTTTCTCACCAGTCTATGTGCTCTTTTGAAATCTGGCCCTAATTCTCTTTCACTTAAGATTTTTAAATGAAGCAGTATTTTTTTATACACTTTTATCTAAGCTCAGCTTATTAGAAAGATCATTAATAAGAAATAGAAATTCTCCTAGTACAGGGTGCACATATCTAAAGCACTACGTTTGCAGTGATATCATGAGCTAGAACTTGAAAGGATGAACGTTAGCCTTCCTTATATTTTAGAGCCTTCTGCATCCAGTTAGGAAAGGTTTTAGGACTAGATTAAATACAGAGGTGTTACCTCTAAATATTCTCCCTGCAACTCAGCAACTACTTTCTCTTCTCCCACAGATGGAGTCCCCTGTCTCTACACCAGCGGTGCTGCCACTGCACCTTTTAGTGCCAGTGGTCAATAATGACATCTCATCCCCCTGTGAGCAGATCATGGTTCGTACCCGATCAGTCGGAGTCAACACATGTGATGTGGCTTTAGCCACAGAGCCTGAGTGCCTGGGCCCCTGTGAACCTGGAACAAGTGTCAATCTCGAGGGCATCGTGTGGCAGGAAACAGAAGATGGTAAGTGCTGATGTGGCTTTTCCACCCCTTCTCAATCTGTCTTACTGTTACAAATAATACTGAGTATTTATTAGAGTCTTGAGAGATTGTTGTCTGCTGATGATACCTATGCAGAGGTTTATAATGTACTTTTTTAGCAAAATCACTCAGCTTCTAGGGATTACCAGTATCAGTTTTTTAGATTATTTATCCCCCCTTCATAGCTATTCAGCAGTGTTTGCCCTGGTTCATAAGCGGTCATTTCATAGGTGCTGGCCAGGTAGTTCAAGCTCTGTCTATACTCTCCATATCCCTGTCCTTTTATTTATTTATTTATTTTTAAAAAGATTTATTTATTTATTTGCTTGTTTATACAAGCACTGGGTACAGTCAGAAGTGAGGGAGGGTGAGAGAATTCACCAGAGCCAGAGCAGGGAACAGAGCAGGCAGAGGGACCAAAGTACACCGCTGAGGGGAGCAGCGGGCTGCAGGAGAGGTCTGCGCGCCATGTGGGACCCTCCTCCGGTGGCCGGGGAGCAGCCAGGGATCAAACGGGTGCTGCAGAGGCTGCGGGCAGCTTCGCAACCCAGAGCTCAACCGCTGCGCCACCGGGGAGGCCCATCCCTGTCCTTTTATATCGGAGAATTAAAATATAAATGAACTTCTGGGTCAGGCTTGAAGAGAAAAAGTCATAAAAAGAGCAGTTGTGGGAGTCAAGGAAATGGAAAATAGTCCCTTTTCCCTCCCGATTTTAAACTTTTTTATTTTCTTACATTGTCGTTCGTTTTTGTACAATATTTGATTTCTCCCCTCAGGTGTAGTCCCCATAAATCTCCCACCACCATATCACCCATGAACTTTCACCATAGTCCCTGGTGCTCTTCCCTCCTGTTTTGACCCCACTTCTACCCCCTGTCCTGCTCTATGCCTCAGATCTGTAGTTTGCCTGCAAATTTTGTCTATTTTTTTTTTTTTGACCCTTTGTTCGGTTTCCCTATATTCCTCCTGTAAGTGAAACCATGCAATATTTTTTTTTCCTTCTGACTTATTTCACTGAGCAGAATCCCTTCTAGTTCCATCCATATTGCTACAAATGGCATGAGTTTATCTTTTTTTGATTGTGTAGATATACCACATACCACATATTCTCGATCCGTTCATCTGTATGGGGACATTTAGGTTGTTTCCATGTCTTAGCTATTGTAAATAGTGCTGTAATGAACATAGGAATGTAGGTTTCCTTTCAAATTGATGTTTTTGTGTCCTTTGGGTAGATTCCTAGGGATGGAACCTCTGGGTCATGTGGTAGCTTCATTTTTAGTAATCTGAGGAACCTCCACACAGCTTTTCATAGTGGTTGGACCAGTTTGCATTCCCACCAGCAGTGTAAGAGGGTTCTTTTTTTCTCTACATTCTTACCAACATTTCTTGTTGCCAGTTTTTTTTTTAATCTGGGCCAGAGAATAGTCACTGTTAAATTGACTTAGTGTTGGCTCATTGAAAATGCAACCTTTGCCTTTTTTTTTTTTTAAACACCTGGAGGTGCAGCCAGCTCCTTTCCTCTGGTTGCCCAGCCACGCATACCATTTCATGCATCTGTCACTTAGTACAGATTTTCTAGGCCAAGGCAATAGGGAAATGTTTACATGGTCTTGTTTTGAGGCATCCACTAAGCAGTTGGCTCGTTGTAGGGTGCTGCTGCCCAAGACTACCAGCCAATTTTCTTGTATGTTCCATTTGCCCCTGAGAACAGTATCTCTTCTGTTTTAAAAGTTCATAAACCTAAAAAAGTAGGAGTGCAATTGGGACTTAACCAGGTATTTCAGATCCCTTGGTGCCATCTGTAGCAATTTGATTTCAACACATACATTCTTTTTGAAAAGAATCCAAGTCCTTGTTGTGTGCTTACAGAGACTGGGCCTCAGAGTCCCATCAGGTCTCTGCATCAGTAGCCAGACTGTCAAAGCATCTCCATTCTGAGGAATCCAGGGGCCCAAAGGAGCAAAGCTAATTATCTCTGATTATCATAAGCTATCTTATCAGTCAGCTTGTGGAAATTCAGGTGTTTCAGTCTAATAAAAGTCTCTCTGAATATTTTGCTGTAATTCAGTATTTATTTAAAAGTGCAATAGGGGCCTTCCTAGTGACACAGTGGGTTAACTTTCAGCACTATGAAGCTGTCCCCAGCCACTGCAGCACAAGTTCAATCCCCAGCCAGGGAGCTAACCCACATGTCACAGCAGACCTTTCCTGTCTCAATTGCTGCTCCCCTCAGCAGTGTGTTTCAGTCAGTCTACCTGTTTTGTTCCCCACTCTGTCTCTGGTGAATCCTCTCACCTCCCGCACCTCTGGCCTGTACCCCAGTCCTGTATGCATAAATAAATAAATCTTAAAAAATAAATAAATAAAAGTGTAATAGGTATTGATATGATACAGGTTAAGAATTCTTGTTCCTGGCCTTCTCCTCAGCACCAGTAGAGTAAAGCTTCACCTTTCAGAATAACGTTGCTGATAAGGTTTTATTATCTGTGTGAGACCATAATGCAAAAAAAGGAAGAAAAAACCTTTTGTGTTAGAAACTGATGTAGACAGTGGAGAAGTTGACTCTGGGTGTATGTAAACAATAGACAATCTGGAAATTATGGCTATCCCTGATTTTCAAAATGATATCTGCCTGTGGCCAAATGTCTGAAAAACCAGAGTCTGTTGGAATAATAAACACATTTAGCCCTGAGCTCTGTGCCACCAAGCAACGTTTTGGACCTCTTGCCTCAATGTACTGGAGACAGAAGACATCAATTTCCTGCCTATTTATTTTACCCAGCTTTATATGGTGGCTTTTCTTCACGAGCAAGGTGCTTTTTGTATATGTGAACCTGATAAAAACTTTGCAAGTGTGAGGCTAACCCTTTCACTCACCTGAGAACAATGGATACCTTCCTATCTGTTCTCCCTCCCTGCCAAGGGAACATGGGGGATGTTAGCACAGACTTTTTTTCCCCTGTCAGTTATTGCTCTGAAAGGTTCTTTGGTTGGCTGGCATCCTATTAACAAGTTCCCCTGCTATACACTTTTAATATACCTCATACTTTATTTCACAGTACTCATCACAATTTACAATTTTGTATCTGTATAATTGTATTTTCCTATTAATGTCTATTTTTTTCACTGTTTTAGAAGTTCTGTGAACTTTAGGACTCTATTTTGTGTACCATTTTATTCACAACTCTTAATACCAGGCACCTCAAAAATACTTGAATGAACGCTTGCATATATGTCGTCACTTCAGGATCAATGTTACTATCTAACAGATATTATAATGTTGGAATTTAGGAACCATGCCAAAATTCTATACCTTCTCTGAAACTGAGAATTACTACTCCTTTCATTAGGTTTGAGATCACTCTCATTTTTTTTAAAATGTGTAGGATTTGTAGTTCTCATACTTTTTTTTTTTTTTTTTAAGATTTATTTATTTATTTATACAAGCACTGGGTACAGTCAGAAGCGCAGGAGGGTGAGAGAATTCACCAGAGCCAGAGCGGGGAGCAGAACAGGCAGAAGGACCGAAACACACTGCTGAGGGGAGCACGGGGCGGCAGGAGGGGTCTGCGCGCCACCTGGGACCCTCCTCCGGTGGCTGTGGAGCAGCCGGGGATCGAACCGGTGCTGCAGAGGCTGCGGGCAGCTTTGCAACCCAGCACTTAACCGCTTTGCCACCGGGGAGGCCCCTAGTTCTCATACTTTTAATACTGTATTTTCTCCCACCGATCATATTATGTTTTAGGATTCGCCAAGAGAACTGTTCTGCAGTTACTCTTCTTTCTGTCCATTCCAAGGGTTTTCACCTGAATAACGTGTCAGTTGGCAGTTTTTGAATTGGGATCAGAGCTAATCCACATTCCCTTTCATCTTTAGGCACCAGGGAGGTCCTGCAAAAGGTCATCTTCTGCAGATCCAGAATATCCTGTATATTGAGTTATTTTCAAGTTAATAAAAAGAACTATTTACGATACTTAAAAAATTTCATCTTGCCTTCTAGGCTTTTTGTCTGCTACCTGCCTTGCTTCTGTCTTTCTCTTTGCCCAGCAAACTACTATCTTCAAATGGAAAAACCCCTCCAGCTTAGCAAGAAGCTGTGAATGTTGGCCTCTGAGAAGAATGGAGGGCCTTGAGATCTCTGTAGAACTGAAACACCATGCTGAGAACAGGTGTAGGGGTCACGGCCTCAATTCTTCCTGCTTTCTTTGCTTGCGTGTCCTGCAGCGTTGCTTCTTTCTTTACTATCTCTCACTGCAAACCTTGCATTGGAGACATTTTAAATTCCTGCAGAGCCAGTCTCTTTTTAAGTTGTTCTTAATTCAGCCAGTACTACAAAGATCTTCCTCTACAAGGCTCAACATTAGGACTACTAGGAAGACCTGAATGTAACCTGTTACAATGCTTTCTCCAGCTTTTTTGAGACTTATTCTTAGCACTTATTCAGAGGTCTAATTCTACCTGATTTCATTTTTTTCCCATCTCACTTAAAATCAAAATAGCAGGTTCCAAGTATACTCCTGGTTCACAGGACTTACCCTTAAGGAACCCAGGGTCCTGGAAACACTGTATAAGAAACCTTAAGTCAGACCACATACTTCTGCTGAACAAAAATTTCTTAGTGATTTCTTTGATGTTTTTTAAAAAAAAAGCAACACTGACTTTACATAAGAGCTCCAGGAGATTTGCTATATAGATTCTCTTTTTTAAACAACAGTACTAAATGAAAGCCCTCAATAATGGTATATTTTACTTTGGCAAATGTGCTTTCTGGAAGAACTTGTGGTATAGTGGAAGCGCTGGAGCCAAAATCAGTAAACCTCTATACCTCTGCCACTATCATTGTAACCTGTTGGCCTCTGGGTGGGACCCGTCGCAGTTGGTGCCCTATTCCCATTCCCCAAAACAAGCAGCTGTATGCACAGTGTATTTTTCATTACTATGTGTGCCATCATGGAGAAAGTTGAGGAAACATTGAGTTA